CAGCATATTATAAGATTTCATATAAACTAACATACATATTATATTTTTTTTTCTTGGATTATTGTAGTTTAGAAGTGTAATTACTCTTGAATTATATTTAGATTACTCATTATGTTGTTTCAATACTATTTTTAGGTTTTAAATATTTGAGCAAGATGAATAGAAGATGAGCAAATGTACACAGAAGGCGAGAACAACCAGAAAGATATTAATTTCTACTTGTTAGATTAAATTATTTTCTTTAGGAGTTCTTTCATGTATTGTTTGAATATTAAATTGTTAGTAATAGAGTTAAAATAGCAAAAAATTGATTTTCACTGTTCGACTGTCCGTTCCCGTCTTGGTTAAAGCCCCGAGCCAGGTAGTGACAGATCAATAAACTGGAACGAGAAAATAGTTGGTCGGCTACAAATTGAGAGACGAAAGAGGCCTTTGGATGTCCGGAAGAGATCACTACATTGATCCAACCAAGTTAAAGGCACACCATTTGAGATAAATTAATGGATAAAACAATCCAATAGAGAAAACAAAGAACAAGAAATCTCAAAATAACATAAGCCAAGCAAAAATTCCATAAACCAGATTCCCCAAAATATATTAATACAAATACCTAAATTAATATGGTGAATATGGGCACACAAGACTCATAACAGTCAATAGTAGCAAGAAATCTCGCTACAGGGTCCTCCCGAAAAAGAAACCCATCCCAATTTGATCCTGCAATCACGGGATTCTTTGATCCCTCCCGTCTCATTCTTCCCTAGTAAGAGAGGCAACACTTTTCTCTTTGGAAGCTTCTGGAATCGATCCATCCCCATCATAACAAAGTCATTGTCTTGTTGTGTATGGGGCTACTAATAAAAAAATCTATGCTCGTGTCAACCCAAGCCAACTCTAGAACACTTATGTCATTCCATAGTCTATTCTAATAAAAAGCCAAAACTATTCACGGGCTGGTACACTCACAAACCAATGCTCCTATCACTAAGTTTGTAACATGCATCTGTAACTGCATGTATTGGCCTAGTCACAACTCATAGGTTGGTCGAGCATTAATCCTGGAATGAGGTTTATGAAATGTTGGATCTCCATAAGTGGTAGCAACCCAAGAGGTGGATAATCAATCATAGTGTCCTGAAACTCTCCAAGTAGAGGCTACCCTCTATCTTGTATCGACTCCTCGAAGTCACTACTTTTTAGAACCACCAATGCTAGTCATGTAGGCATTTCTCTGAAGTTTTACAGATAGATAGTTCATGGCATCATATACTCGGACTCTGTATGGACGCCCATTACCTTGAACTCCTAAAATAAGAGTATGATGTGCTTCCCATTCTTGGTGAAAGAATATATATTCTTGTAGCCATCATGGCATGTGCAATGGCCATATTGTCAAGGACAATACAATAGAATATGACAAGTATCCACAGAAGCCACATCACACCACATCTACTTCTGGAACTTTTACCCAATAGTGAACTCTATGAGGCATCTTTTTTCAAAAATAATTTTTTTTTCCTTTTCTTCAACTAAGACAAGGAATACAATTGGATGTTTTGTGAAGCTAGGTTAAATTTGTCGATCAATTGGGTACACACCAAAATCTCACAAATGTCTGTATATGATAACACCACACGTTTCAATTCACGATGCCATGGTATGAAAGATGTTATGGCAGAGTCAGTGTTGTTCTATCATGGGTTCAAGAGAAAAATCATCGAACTAATATATCTCCTATCAAAGCTCATAAAGCATGTCAAAACTTTGCACAAATAAAGAGGTGATCTTACACTTTCCTTCCCGCTATCAAAGACACTTATGATTTTCGCACCAAAAGGAAGAGTTTAGAAGTATCTTTTTGAGTTCAATGTTTGTCAGTTTAACTCTCTTGTCCTGAAAAAAAAAAAAACTTAGTACTCAAACATTCGTTCCACTTAGAATGCCCAATTTGAACAACATCAGTAAAATTTTAATTACTTCGAAGTATGCCTCATTTTTCATTGCCCCGAAATTCACCCAAATTACTTTTACAAAATTCTATATTTGAATAAATTAAATTGATGTATAGTAGTATATATAAATTATTGTTATATTTTAATTTACTAAAATAGATCAGCAATTTAATTAATTTTAATTTTACCACATAGTTAAAATAATTAATTACTGATACAATGATCTCAACTATTGTAGCTGCCCCACTTTCCATGGCATCCAACGGTGGGATGGAATTTTATTGGGTAACATTTGATATTAATAAATTAATTAGGTATTATTGTTATTATTATTATTATTATTATTATTATTATATACATAAGTTACCTTCAGTTCCTCCCACTCCTTTTCTTCTAGATTGCATCCCTTTGCGGCCATGCAGTGTAGCAGAGGCGGACTGGAAGATGGAGTAGGAGCGGCAAACAGGTCTACTGTTGCGTGGAATTTGGGAAGAAATAGAGAGAAAAATGGAGGAAAAGGAGAAAGGAGGAAGAAAATAAGCGATAATTTAGGCAGAAATTCATTATTTAAGATAAGAGTTTGATTTATATATTTTTAAACTTTTAGCTTAATTCCAAAATTGTCAGTGAAAAATTTTAGGTGAGATAGTTTGACTTATAGTCATAAATACACATATTTATTTATCTTAAAACTAATAATTTCTTCAATTATTCCTCCTTATTACATGAATTGCAGCTAAGCTCATACAGCTAATCGGAGCAATTTAGGGAATTAGGAAAGTGTGAAAGAGAAGTCAATTTCAACTAAAATTTCAATTCAAATCACAAAAATGCTAACATTAATTTTAAATAAAGAATTTCAAAAAATTTTAAGAGAATTATGATATCAGGTTGTATATTCACGACGAGTTCAATGCGAGCCTAAAGAATCTCATCGTGAAAGAAAGTAATATCAGAACCAGGCGGGATGAAATCAATAATAGAAGTGAGATTGGATCTAGAACAAGTACAAATGAGATTAATATATAAATTGATCGATAGAGAGCTATAGGTTGAACTTGGGTAGGTAACCCATATTAATCAAGAAATCATTCAAGCATAATAAAATATATAATAATTTGAATTAAAAAATAAATTATGCAATTACAAATAAAGTTGCCTGAAGCGCCTGTCAAGCCAATTGTAAAATCTGAAATGTAAGCTGAAAATAAGTTTAACATGAGTGATGCTCATAATAGAGCAAATGAGGAGACCAAAACCAACACAATACAGGTATTGTCAAACTACTATCTCAAGTCGTGGATAAAATAGTTGCTATTAAAATATCATCTGTAAACAACGCCCCCAGATCAAAATTTGATATTGAAGTTGTCTAACATCTGAGAATCTTTCAAAGATTCAAACCATTTGCATTCAAGGATGCAATGGCCCTATAGTCGCAGAAGACTAATTTATTGAATATTCAAAAGATTTTGAAAGTTATGATATATCCAGAGGTCAGAAAAGTATTGCTAGTTATTTTTATGCTTAAAGATGAAACAGAGAGATTGTGACAGCTGCGGCAGGGAAAGAAATTTGGGATGACACCTCTCACATAGATCCAGTAGAATGATTTTGTAACGGGTTCATTCTATCAGTCAGATTAGCACTATAAGATAAGTTTTTGACTTTCACTAAGGGGTCCAAGACATTAAACAATACAGTTATAAAGTATGAAGCGGAATCACCTTTCCAATAGAAATATGCCTCTCATTATGCTAGTACTTAGGAAGAAAAGCATCACGGGTTTCTGCGATGCCTCATTAATTGAGGATGGCTTTCACTCCTTTTGAAATCAGTAACTTTTCAGTGTTAGTTGAAAGCATCAAAAGGATTAAAAATGAGTTGAATTACTAAATGTAGCAATGAGAACAATTGCACAAAAGCATAAAAGTTCTGATAAAAGTATAGATGTTTAGCGCAATAAATTCAAATTTCACAACAAGTAGACGCAAATGCGGTTGGATAAATGCATCTGTGATAAGCGTCGAAAAAGATATTTTGAGCAGTGTTTAATTTACCTGGGAAATGCTTCAGATGAAAATAAGCAGGGCATTATCAAATGGATTACCAATTAGAGAAGAAAAGGAAAAACATACCACATGGATTACATAGACAATATAATATAGAAAATTTTCTGGAAGGCAATACTCAGTTTTATAGTAAGCCTTTAGTATCTGTGAAAGGAGACTTCGGAGTGCAAGGGCAAAGAACCAGTGAATGCCAAAATTTTTACAATTGCCCCATAAGAAGTTAAAAATTTGAAGTTGTTACAGGTATTCTTCTGATTTCAAATTAGTTAGTTGATTTAGGTGAATCACATTCTTTCATTCCTGAAAATTTTTCAATCAGCCTGTATGTTGATATAGTATGTTTGGTTCATGCATTATGTGTTCCTATGCCTTTCGAAAATAGTGTCTACGCAAATAAAAAAAATTTTATGCATGTTAGCATTTTTTAATAGGGAGTTGCAAGCAGAGTTGTTCGTGATACCAATCTAAACTTCTGGTAAAACATTGGGGATACTGCAATCCCTCTGTTCGTGTGCCATATGCCTTCATTTCAAGGAACACCATTAACAATCTACACAGTTAACAGACACAAGAACTATTGACACTAGAATCAAATCATAAATTACGGGACATTTTGCTCACATACAGTGAACAATATGCATCCAATCTTTCAAAATCAACAGAAGCGTAACTGATAAAATACATAAAAAATCTGAGCAAAAATGAATATATCAAGAAAGCTGATTAAAAAATGAGATTTTTGGATAATAAGATGGCAATATGATTGACCAAATCATTTCAAATTTTCACCTCAAGTCTCACTGTAATCAGAATACTGCAATCAAAAAGCTAGGTGGTTTTTATATGTAAACGTCTAAACAATAAACGTAATGGGTTAAACCAAAGAATCAAAATGTTTAAATGACTAAAAAAGAAATAACTTGATCAAATACAACATGCAGATCACTTTCTAAAGAGCACGCAAATGAATTAATACCTTAGCATTGTGCTTATCAAAGTGCTCCAAAGCATCATATAATAATGCAGCTGGCCTTGTGCTTCCGATTTGAAAGATAGACACTGTTGAATCAGGAACTCTTTGAACGAATTCCATGCATGAGTTGGTAATAATTCGCACACCATCACACTCGGGAATGAGTATTATCGGTTCATCATATAAATAACGCACTGGATCACCAGTAGGGCCCACCATTAAAAGCATATCCTCCCAATAGAGAAGAACACTGTCCATTCCACACCAAGCGATCTGCTCTGGAGGTAATGCTGACTGCAAAAGTTACAAACAAAGCATATATATAACAAAATCAAGGTACAAAGAAGACACTTGAAAACCTAAAACGACAAGGTGCGGACATTACTTTATTACATAAAAAACAACAGAATATTTAGCTTAAACATCAACGTAAATTACATGCAAATCACTCAAGTTCAAGTACTACTATTCCCAGAAACTCTTAAAAGATAACACTACCAGGTTCCTTAATAATAAACAAGTTTCATATAAAATTTTCCTTCCCAAAGAAACATAAAAAAGACAACATTTCTGACGCGCCCCTGCTCCAGCGCGTCGGGCCTGTGCACCCAGAAGAAAACCAGTCCAGCCATTCACGCTGAAACGGACCAGTCCATTAGCATTAAAATGATGATTCACTTCGCTTGCCCTATTCTCCATTCTGTGTCGCAGCATGCGCTCCGCTCGCCTCCCCTGAGCCCTATTCTTCTACCTCTGCTACTAGACATTGGAACTGGTTGTTTCTTCCTTCCATTTCTTTCACCTCCTTCCCTCCTAGGATCTTGCCTTTGTTGGTCCACCTCCCCCTCCTATTTATGCATGTTTTCTTCCCTAGATCTAACCAGCTTTTCGTGTGATTTATTTTTCTGATTTCAGGTTTTATTCCTGGTGATTTCCCTGTTGCAAAGGCTATATCCTTCGGTGGCGTGGTACGGTTGTATCCCGCCAAGGTGGTGTGTATCCTAGCGTCAACCCCTTCTCCCGACATCGCCTCCTCCGCTACCATCCTTCAGATTCCATCCTGCAGCCCGACTGGTCCCCTTCTCCTCCTCCTTCCAATGACATCGGATGGCTGCTCCTCCTTCTGATGCCACAGCCCATTTTGACGCCTCCTCGTCAGTTGTAGCCCCGTCTAGCACCTTCCGACACCCATTCCAGCAAGTAACAATGCCTACAGCCCACTCCCAACCCTCCTCCAGCAAGATACAACACTTGCAGCCCCCCTCCTGGCACTCCTCCAGCACTGACATCCACTCCAACACCTTCTTAGCCGCTGGCGACACCTCTCCAGCCTTCCAGCGGAGCCATAACCTCCACCCGTCCCTAATCAGGACTGTTTCTACTCTGTAGTACTTATTTTACTATTTTTGAGTCGTTACTTCTTATATTATCATTTGTATGTTTTGTTTTCATCCAAGAATTTGTGTTGCTCTTTTCTTCGAAATCATCAATAAAATTGTATCATTTTGAGTCGTGGATTGAGTAAACTTTGGTATCAATTTTCCTTCCGAAAGATTTGGTATAAGTCCTCTATAATGAATTTCTCCCTTTTAATCTACCCCTCTTCCACAACCACCATCCCCACCCTTTTCCCTATTTGTGCAACTAATCATATAAAAGGCTAATGCCTTTCACACTTTCATCTCTGTGTGAGTGATGGGCCAAGTTGAAGCCTATCACTAATTATCAGGGATGTGATTGGTAAAATTAACCTGCAATTCCTAGCCTAGCCGGAGTGCTCCAAAAGAAGAAGGGTTATGGGTGAGGGAAAGAAGCAGAGAAGAAGAAGAAGAATGAACTGTAAATATCAGAAAAATATTTTGCTTATTCAAAACCGAATGCATTTGTTGTTACTGTTAGTATTACATACCCATGATTTATGGTTTAAAGAATTTTGTTCATATTATAAGAAAGATCTGTGTGTTCAACTTTGTTTAATTTATTATTAAATCATGTACAAAAATATTGACTGCTATGCAAATAAGAATGAAATATTCATTATTCGAAAGTAATACTTTCATAATGTGTTTGAATGTGCATGTTTGACTATAATTGAATCACTCATTTATAGTACTATCGGGAAAACGCTAAGGTACCCGTGCACGTATATGAAAAAAATATTAATATTGAAGTATCTTAATTTGTACAAATTTTTAGATATTGCTCTTATGACGATTATACATATATATAATGATACTGATATAGTAAGAATTATTAAATAACATCAATATTTTTATTGATTTATTAAAAGCTTAACTGACATGCATATTGTTTATTTTTCTCTTGTATTAATGTAGTTAAAGAGTATGTTTATTCATTGATTTGTTTATCTCATTGTTATTTTAAACTAACTTTTCAAGTTAATTAAGTGATCAAAAGATGAGCGATAGAACTGATAATATTTATAGAAAATGTGACAACAAGTAACGAGGTAAATTTAATATACTGTTTTAATTTATAATGATTAGTTTCACTTTCATTTGTTAAATTATAAAAAAATATATTTCCCACCGTCCGACATTCTGTACCGAACTTGGTTAACTCCAAGTCCCAGGCAGGGTCGTGACAAAATTGCTATCAGAGTCAAAGTTTAGGATTAATTAATGTAATCTAGATGAAAGGTCCAATAGAATAATTATAATAAAATTTTAAAAATAATTAAATTTAACTCAAATTAATAATTATATTGATTCAAGCATAGTGATACACCCGAAATTATAAAAGAATAGAGTCTGATAGAAAATTTATAGATAGTTAATGTTGATTTACTTAATGATAAGTGACTTGAGGTATGTTTAAAAATTTCAAGGAAGAAATTTTTATAAATGAGAAAGATTGTGACGACCCGTTTCAGTTATCGAAGGAGAAGAAATGAAGAACTGAAGAAGAAACAAGTTGTGAAAACCGACCAAAAGGAAGAAGAAGCCAGAAAGGCGAGTTCGCTTGATAAAAATAACTCGACAGAGCGAGATTTAGTTACCTGTAGAGACGAGAGAAGAGACGCCACGATCTGACGCTCTTGGGACGTCGAGAAGAGATAAGAAGAGAGCTCTCAGAGTTTGTGTTGAACAGAGGAGGACAAGCTGTGTTCTGGCGCGGAAGAGGAAGTCGTCAAGCAGATAGGAGGAGAAAAGGAAGAAGAGGTGATGGGTTGATCCTGCGGGAGTCAAAAACGAGCCCTCTTGCGTAGGAGGAAGACAGTTGCGTGCAAATGTGTTCGAGCCACGATGCTCGTGAGCAGAAAGGAGGAAGAGGAGGGCTCTCACTGTTGTAGGCACACTCGATCGAAAGCTTTGGAGCTGGTAGAAACTTTTTTGCGTTGGTTAAAGGCTCTACCTAGACTTACTGCTCGATTCGAATGCTTTAGGGTGAGGGAGAGGATAAGTAAGGTAAATACTAAATTATTTAAGTTATTAATTAAAATGAAATTTCAGAAACATTATATTAAATTGATTTCAATTTTATTAATAATTATTTAAATATGATCGGTGAAAAGGCTAAAGAACGAAAAATAAAATTTTGCTGAAGGAATTCAGATATGAAGCTTAATTTAAATGAACTTCGGTTTAAAAGTCAATTTAAAGGTTTCTAAGTTAAACATGTTTAAAATTTAGGAAAATAAATTATTTAAATGCAATATTGTATAATATATAATAATACAAATATATGAGGTAGCTTAATATTAAAATAAAAATTTGACTACGTTAATTAGTTATACGTTTCATGAAAAACTAAAAGAAATTGGATGACTATAGTTATATAGGTGTATGTAAATGTTTATATAATTAAAATAATAAATAATTATTTTTTTTATGAACACCCATGTTTATGTTAGGTTTCAAATTTTAAGAGTCGACGTCAAGAAAAATAAAACAAAAAATTAATCTTCATCAAAGTGAGTACTCATATTCTTTTGCTACAATAATATTTTGTTTCTTCTCGGTCGGAAGCATTTAATGTTACTGTTATAGTATTACATGTCCATGATTTATGGTCTAATTAATTGTGTTCATATTGTAAGAATGACCTTTGTGCTCAACTTTGTTTAATTTATAATTGAATCATATACAAGAATATTGAATGATATGCAAATGAGAATGAATTATTCATTATTAAAAAGTAATATTTTTATAATGATTGTATATACATGTTGGGTTGTGATAGAGTCATCTCTTTATGGTAGTAACAAGGAATGTTAAAATATTCATGTGAGTATATGAAAAAAAATATTGATATTGAAGTACCTTAATTGATATGAATTTTTAGAAGGTGCTCATGTAATAATTGCACAACTATATAATGATATTGATATGCTACTAATACAGTAAGATTCATTGAATAACATCAATATTTTTATTGATTTATTAAAAACTTAACTGACATTTATACCGTCTTCTTTTCTCTTGTATTATTGTAGTTTAGAAGTACGAGTATTCACAGACTTATTTAGTTCATTGTTATTTTAAACTAACTTTTCAGGTTAATTAAGTGATTTTAAAATGAGTGATATAAAGGATAATACTTATAGAAGATGCAGACAACGAGTAATGAGGTAAATTTAAATATACTAATTTAACTTAATTTGATTTGTGGCTCTTTAATTTGTTAAATTGTCAAAAATTATAGTTTCCACCATTCGATCATCTGTATCAACCTTGGTTAATTCCAAGCCTCGTGTCATAGGTCGTGGCATAGAGTGCAAGCCTTATAAATTGATAGTGTTGCTTTGCTATGTAAACTTCATGGAGAAAGCAATATAGTTGGTAGTGACATCAAGTAGTTGGAGCCAACGGGCTTCATCAATCATTTGAACTTCCTAAATCTTCGTTGCACATATTTCAATTTGCAAGGATTGTTGTTTTAGCTTCAAGGAACGGCAACACATTTGGCTTGGCAAAGTAAAGTGGCACCATTGCCGACCAAAACTTGTAATGGTGAGATTGGGTAATTTCTAAGTGGTGATGTTTGATTAAATGTTACTAAATGAAATTAAGTAGAGCCTCCATCAACCAGAACATAGATGGGTGTGTTTTGTAGGAGTCCCTCAATACGTAGAATATTAGGAAGAGATTGGCTGGTGAGAGCGGGAAGGGCAATAGTTGGGCAAGTTTTTGTAGGGAGTTCTGAGTTGGTATTTGGAGAAGGGTGTGTTTCTTCATATGATTTGTCATATTAAGAGGTATCTTCATTGGTCATTAAAGCGATCATTTTTTTTTTCCTTTTCAAAAGTGGCCTCTTATGAATTTTTTATCGCAATTTAACAAATTCATTTCTGTCATCCAACATTTCTAAGGAGGATAGGCTATAAATCTGGATGGTAGGTTTTGGAGGTCGGGAGTTGATGGTGGAGTAATAATGGATGGGTTTTTTGTCATGTTGGTTGGTGTTGGAAGAGGAGGTTTTGGACCTAAAACTGTTTTTATCATGAGTGTATCTTCGATTAAGTTGGCAAGTTTTATCGTACCTCTTTCTGAATGTTGGAATGGAGGTTGGATTCAAAGAAACTTTGTAAGAAGAGTTTGTCAATGTCGTTGATTTTCTTGGAGAGCTGTTTGAATAGAAGTTGACACACTTCCACAAATGAGGTTTGTGCTAACTTCTAATTCTCACTGTAGGTTGTGGTATTTAGATGGTCCAAGCTAATTACGGAGTGCCACTATGAAATCAGTTCAAGTGTGCAATTAGTTTGTTTTTGAAAACCAAATGAACCACTTTTCTGCAGTTCCATCAAAGTGGAATTAATATTAGTTTATCTTGTTCAGTAACCTTGCAGAATGAGTAATATGGTTCAATTTTTTGGATCCCATGTTCTAGGTTTCCACCGACAAAACTAGGAATGAAGATTTGCATTGTTTTAAAGAGGTTACTAACTATTTCAAAATAATAATAATAATAAAGAGGTTACTAAAAATGATTTCCTTGGAAGTTTGTGATGAAATAGAGGACTTCTATTGGTTGTTTGATGTCAGAGAGTTAAGCCAGTTTTATTAATTTTTACATCCAACAATGTGATCTAGAGTTGCACATCGTGCATCATTTCCAAGATCTGGTGAATTTGTTCTTCCATAGTCGAATTGACATCAATGATTTTTGCCCTAGAATGAGTTTTATATGTTATAGATGAGTAAGCGAGTTAATGAGAGCACCAAATAGTTAGATTTGTGATTTGTAAAGATAATCAATAGCTTTTAGCCTTGTCAGAGAGCTCCAAACAATAAAAAGCTAAGGATAATGAGAAGAAAATAATGAACAAGGAAAATTAGAAGAACATTTCTGCATGTCTCCATTTTACCTCAATCATACATTTAAAATTTCTTTTCTAACAACAAGTTTACTTGTCCAAACAGGGGACACATGTCCCACTAACACCATAATATCCTAACAATCCATAAGAAGGATAATTTATTCTCATATATAAATAAACCTCTTTCAAATCTTGCCCAAGTGATAGCAAGCTTGCCATTGGTAGTCTCCGCATCCTCTTCACCTTGGGCTTAACTCCAATGTCACAGTTTGTACTGCTGCTATCACCCTCAGGCATCCCTCCACTCATCATTCTACAAGCATCTCCCATCCTCATACAGCTAGTTACAAGTTGGCATTTATTAATTTAAAATGTTGGTAACAGATCAACACAAAAAATATCCTTAGACAAACAAATTGATACAAAACATTCAAAAAGAACAATTTCATCTTTCATATTTAGATTTTAAAGATGGGTGGGTGTGTAAAAACAAGGGAACTACTACATCATTATGCAATTCACAAAAAAAGCTTATGCTTATCAAAAAGACTTCAAACCAGAATAAAGTACAGTAATCATCAATATTTTGAAAAAAAAAAAGAAAAAACAACACCTCATTAGATTACTCTCCACAAACAACTGATAAGTAATGAAACATTCGAGCACAAATTAGAGCAAATCATGATTATGGAATATGATTATCGTATTCATCTATGTCAGTATGATTGCTTATGCAAAATAACCAATTGAATTTCTTCCACTATAACTCCTTATAAAATTATGCTCTATGATTGATAACAATAGATTAAAAAGACAGTGTATTAACTAATAATGTTTAACGTATCAGTCCTATAAATATTTTTAGCACACATTAATGGGCAACAAATCAAGGAAAAAAAATGCATTAGATAGAGCAATAAACATACAAGGTTTTTTTTTTATTATATCCTCATAGAATGAGTAATGGCATGATGTGTAGCTCATATTTTAACAAAATAAGGAAGATATCTAATGTAACAGCGAAAATCATATCAAAGCCATTATGGCTTTCAAAACACTGCCCCTAGGGTAGAGGTTTGCAACAAAGAAGACAATGGTTTGTTTCGTCAATATAAGAACTGCAACTGCAGAACATTAGGTATATGTTCAGATAAAACCTTAATTTCATCATGCTTGCGTTGTGCAACCCTTGACTTTGCAAGTTTTACTTCTCACAACAAAGCAACTAAAGCATCAGCCCAACAAAAAGTAAAGAAGAGCACATAGCTTCATGCATGCGTGTCTAACCTCGCAAGAATACTCCGATATGATCCTTGAAAAATCTGTAGGTATAACAAGTAGCCTCCCATCATGTGTAAAGGCAGCAAGGTACATTCCATTGGGTGATACTGCCAGTTTCTGCAGGGGACCAATCCCAAACCCGAGCTGCTGAACACCATCCTCCTCCACAACAAGTACATGATCCTCAACCCCAAGTAGCACCTCCACATTCCCATGCATTGTGTACTGTGGCTCAATCACTGCAACACAGAGAGGATAATCCTCCAGCACGGGGTCAGCGAGCTTGCAAGGCTGAGGATTTCTGAAATCAGAAACGCAGAATATCTGGTTGCCCTCAGTGAGGCAGATCATGCCATTCCCCCAGAAGACGCATTCGACGACGCTTTGCTCAAAACACTCCTTTCCCATGGAGAATTGAGAGGCAGCGAGCACTGCGTGAACATCGTAGCTATATACGGTGCCGTCCTGGACGACGCAGACAAGGACGTGTTCGTCGGTCCACGCCATGCCGACAAGCCGGCCACCAGGACGGTCCCACACTGTCGAAGCAAGGAGAACTCCGGCGGAATTGAAGATGTAGAGCTTTCGACGTGCAGATTCGGCATAGAGCTGAACAATCTTGGAATCGTCCCTGATGACGGCAATGGGGCCTCCAAAAGGAGCGCAGGCAACGCGGTTACGGTTGAGATCCATTCGACCCCATTGCATCGAGTAGATTTCGGGCTTGCGGTAGTAGCGGGGGGGGCCACTCCGCTGCGACGGAAACAGCAGCCATTGAAGTTGTGGATCGGAACCTCACGCAATCTTATGTCCCCACCAGCAGGGAAAAGTGGAAGCCAGAGAAGGATGAGGTGGTTTCCTCGCGCAACAGGATCGTCAGAAAACCTAGAGAATGAGGAGAGGAAAGTGGTCGAGACGAAGATGGATGCATGAGATGGAGGATAGAAACACAGAAAAAGATGCGGATTCTTCAAAACGTAGAAGAGTGTGCAGCGTAGCAGTTCTCTGTAGATGCCGATCGTGCCGGAGGAGGTGAAAAACGGTGGCGCGTGGACGTCCCTTCGGTTTTTATTTCTGGTCGATGTTTTATGGGAAAAATTATTCCATGCGGATGCCGGACTGTAAATCACATGGTTTACGGTCCTGATGTATTTTAGTGGGCCCCACCTAAAATTTTTTATTTTTTTTTTTAAAAAACGGAAATAATCCTGACCGTAGATCACCGTGATCTACGGCCAGGATTGAACACCGCATGCAGAGATGCATGCGGTGTCCGCACGCAATAATCCCCCGTTTTATGGAAGGATAGTTGAACTGCGTTCGCGACTGCGGCGCGTCCTTAAACAAATATGATTTTAGCCTTATTTAAACGTACCTCGAACCAACTCCAATACTCTTTTCAATTTATATATACATAAATATACTTATATTGATAGTGTTATGGGACTCATATCAAGATAATAATAGATATATTTGAGAGAGAGAATGAAAATTAATGGATAATATGTATCCATTGATTATTATTTCATTAATTATATTTTCTCCTCAAAAATATCTATTGTTATTTTTGTATCAACCTCTTCTAATTTTAGCATGACTATAATAATATGCTTATTTTTATATGAATTTTAGATTGCATTTGAGATGGTTTGAGCCAATTTTAAATTAATTTAAAACCAAATACAAATATTGTTTGAACCATATGTAAATATGAATAGAACTACATTCGAACAAGACTAATTTTTCAACCTAGGGATATCTTTTTATCCCCTTTCATTTGTATAATTAGTGCATTTGAATATAGAAGGAGAGACTAATGTACTTTGAATTATACAATCAAAATTGTTGACACGATCTTTAAATTTTTATGGAGTGTGTTGTCACATCTACAAACCAAATACAAGTATTGTTTGAACCATATGTAAATATGACTAGAACTACATTTGAACAAGAATAATTTTTCAACCTAGGGATATATTTTTATCCCCTTTCATTTGTATAATTAGTGCCTCTGAATATAGAAGGAGAGATTAATGTATTTTGAATTATACAATCAAAATTGTTGACACAATCTTTAAATTTTTATGGAGTGTGTTGTCACATCTACACTTCAATTAGTCACTTTTCATAATTGTAACATTTTACTATCATATTTGTAAATTTGTTTATTGTATTGTACTTAAGCTAAAAGGTTTGCTTTTAAGTTTGTAATTATATATTAGTTTAATAGTGATATAATGTATTTAAATGCTCATGTGTTATTGAGGGATGATTTTATTTGAGTATTGTCAATTCATGTAGTTCATGTTGTCTTAGTGATGATCAATTACTTTTGAAAATCCCATAAATTCAAGAAATTGGTTCTTAATCAAATTATATTCAAATAAGGCTTAATTAAGTTATGTTAAAATGTATTATTATCATGTTTGAGCTGAATTTAAACTTTATCTGAGCAAATTTTGAATTATATTTGAGCCATGTTCAAATTTTATTTTAAAAAAAGACAAATTTATATATGGTGCATCCAAGCGAGAAAGATCCATGCTAGAATAGCAGGATGCTCTCCACGCTACTGACACCCCAGCGTCATCACTTGTTGTATGGCTAAAAATTGTTTTTCTCTTTAAAAGATTAGCCTTGTGATACCCCTAGTTTGGAGGGCCAGCAATTTGAAATCCCCCTTCAGCCATTAGAGTGATCTGAGAGCCTTCTTCCTCTTTGTGAGTTTGACTTAATCGATCAGACTTATAATAACCTCGCCAGTTACTAGCTTGAACAATATATGTTCATTGTGATTTCTTTCATGATTTTATCTATTTTAACCACCTGATGTGGCATGCAAGAATTATTGAAGCCCTATCACTAGTTAGGAGTAGGTGTATGCATTAGCGTTTAAAGTGTCAGCACGATCATTATTTTTGTATTGGGATCGAAGGGATTAAGTTGATTACAGTTTATTGAATTTTGGTTTGATGTTTAAATTTGGCTTTTAGTTTTAATATTTTTGAAACCATAGGATTTGAGCCAAACAATTCATGATTGAAAACAAAAATTCTTATATTGTGTTGAAATTGAGTTCAAATTTGAGGTTTGGGTTTGGAATTGATTTGGACTTGATTTAGGGTTAATTTAAAATTGATTTTGAGTTGGATTTGATTTGGGGTTGATTTGAAATTGATTTTGATCCTATATTAGGTGGAAAGAAAAGGAAGGAGAGGTCTTGATGAAGGTGAAGTTCTAACCTTAAATAACTTTAAAAAGGAGGCTAATATGTGGACTAAACTAAATTTTGGGAATAATGCAGCCGATCTTGATGCTCATGGCTTTCCATTATCATAAAGGTGTTAAGATCCTTAAACTATTAACCAATAAAATAACAAGAGGTCTTCCTTGTTTCCATAGCAATGACTAATGTAGACATTCATATTATTAAGTTATTTGGGATACCTTCATTAATAACAATGTATTATTTCCTCCTATAGAATCCCTATAATCCAAGAGAGTAGGTCATTCATTTTATAGGTCCTAACATTTAATTCTATCTATTGGGTATATAATAATCTAGTCTAGGCTTCTAGACTGCACTATTATAGGGTGTGTGTGGACTTAGATTTTATTCTACGTTGGCTAACATAGGGTTCACTATTTGGATTTACTGAGGTGGTAATTATGAGAATTAGAATTCATCAATTTTAATTATTTTTAGGGTTTGATATTTAACTCATGATTTGCTTAATTCTTAGGGCAGTCGGTTGTCATGCAAAATTAGGATCCTTTTAAGTGTTTAAGGTTTCAGTTTTTTATAGGTTGTTTGTTGCCAATTAAATCAAGGTTTTAGTAAAATTTAGTTTCCACCCTAGATTGCAATTCTTTATTATTTACTCTAGGTTTGACCTAACATTCTATGTTTGGGGCTTATGTTTAAAATAATTCAACTCAAGTCTTTCATGCATATACTCTTCATATTTAAGGATTATTTATATGCTCACAAAATTTATTTTGTTTTTCCTTTTCATACAAAACTATTTTTGTAAATAATTTAATTAAACATAGAGTATGACTGATCTAAACTTACTTATATATGAATTATCCACATGAAATACCCCAAGATTTATACACTCAGAGGGCAAGGGTATGAAATCATGTGTTTTTGGGGAGAAACAAGCTCATTCTAGGAACACTTACGCCTATGAATGTGTAAGTCATGCTTAAGCTAAGCTATTTAAAAGAGTCTTATAAAATTTATGTCAATTCTGATGTTTTAACTAATGAGCTCAAAAAGAAGATTTGTTATGACTAAAAATATATTTTTGAATAATCTCTTTAGAGTAGATTTCTTTTGGTTTTTGTTTTAATTTTGTTTGTTTATTTTATTTCATTTCATTTTGGAAAAATTTTAAAAAGATTTTAAATTTTTTTGGATTTATATTTTAGGTTTGTTAAAAAGGTTTTAGTTAAGAATTTTCAATAAGATTTAGATTAAATTTTGAGCTAAGGTTTATAAAAAAAGTTTCAGTTTTGGAAAAGTTTTTAACTTTAAGGCTTATTAAAAAGTTTTATATTAATATTTATTACAAAGTTTTAAAAAAGTTTTTAATTTTTAATATTTAATGACAAGGTTTATAAAAAGTTTTCAAAATTTTTATTTTATGTTAAGAATTATTCAAAGGTCTTTGATTTTGAAAAAGGTATCAATGTTTATTAAAGACTTTAATTTTGAAAAAAAATCAAATTTTGAGTAAGGTTTTAATTTTATTGAAATTTTTAATTTTAAGATTTAAATTTTATTAAAGACTTAATTTTAAGGCTTAAATTTTTAAGATTTTAATTTTCAGAGAAAGGCTTTAATTTTGATTTTGAGAAATTTATTTGAGAGAATTTTTCAAGAAGATCTTTTTAAAGGAGTTTCTCTTGAGCTTGAACCCTCATAAAGTTTCTTAGACCTTACTATATTTAGTACATTTAGTTAATATAGAAAATTAATTTTTTAAAATATTTTTGAACTTGAGTAGGCTCCTTTTCTCACATAGACTTAGGAACTGAATTTCTTACACAAGCTCACTAAACACACATCATATTGCATATGAAACCACGTAAACTTGCATCATCCAACTTGCATATTTGACACTCATCCAACTTACATAAATTAAAAGAAAGCTCGTCGAAGTTGGATGAATTAAAAGAGAATTCACCCAACTTGCTTGAATTAAAAGAAAATTCATCCAACTTGCTTGAATGAAAATCTAACTACTAAAAGATATTAAGATGGAGTAGTTTTTATTTCATTCATCATTATTTATATTTTTTATGCATGGAACATGGGGTATGTTTTTTTTTCCTTTGTTATTTTCTAACAAAACACACAAAGCTTAACAGGAATTAAATAAACCCATAAGTACATCAATATATACATGTGCTCACATTCAAAACTTACACATACTTTTCATGGTCATATTTTCACATATTTATGTACACATTTTCAAAATCATAATTAACTACACACCTATACATTTTTCATCTTACATATATATCACATTACACATATGTCGACACTTTTTTTTTTGGTTGGAGGAGCTACCCGTTGGAAGCTATCGGCCGCCAGAATTGGAATCTCGTCATCCGCTTCAAAAAAATATTTTAATTTACATATATATACATAGTTTAGAAAAATATGAAATTAAATCGACCTCATATTTTCATACTTTAAATGAAAGAACACTATATCTCAAACCCTACATCTATCCCGAAGGATAAACACAAGACTTGAGGATGATGCTCGATCAAATAAACTAAGAAATATATGACATTCATTTGGTCTGCAAAACCATTTATTTGCCGAAAAATTCCCCTATTTATTACAAAGAATTATATAGGGTTTATATTAAGCTGGGTTCAGACAAGCTTCCTATAAGGGCAAGTCCCTATAGTTAATTACATCTGGATCTACATTTAAATAGAAATTTCTTGCTAAACATTTTTCACCATAAAAAACTGTGAAGCTTAGAAATGATATTACATCTTTTTGTCCGTTTGAAGGAGAATCTATTTATGAAGCATGTGAATGATTTAAAGAACTCTTGAGAAAT